GATTAGATTTTTGTTTATTTCTAATTGTTTGCATCGTTTAATAAGTGGATTTTGTTCTAAAGTATTGTTATTTTAGTAGATCAATTGTGATATATTAAGAGGGTAGGAATTTCTGTTGCAGTATATGTTTTTTTTTTTTTTTTTACATTGTTCGTCGTGTCTTCCGTATGATTACGGCGATATTCGTGATTTCGTTCGTTACTTCAAGCTGTGTTATTCGAAAAAAATTCAATCATCATATATTTATTTGATAGATCTATGAGTCGGGGCCTGCATCAGATGATTAGAGATATATTCTTGATCAGATTGATTATCTGGAATGTGATATATCCATCGTTATATTGGGTAGATCTATCATTCATGGATGTTGATAAGATCCATCCATTTAGCAGCACCTTAGGATCTATAGTTTTATCCGCCAGAAACACATCAATAGTGATATGTTTGATTGTAAGTTGTATTCTTGTTTTGACTGTATCTCGCCTTATTGATCGTTGCTAAACGATTTCTAGTAAAAACTAATATTTTATTAAAAAAATTAATGGAGATCTGTTAATTTGGATGGAAAATGGGCCGATTGGACGAAATTGGCGAAAATTTCAAATATTAGAGCAAAGTTGGCTAACCGAAAATCTATTGGGTATGATTAACGACGAGACCAAAGCTTTGGGTATGAACGACATTTTTTCCCAAAATTCACACTTATGGACAGGATCACCGAGATCGATATAATCTGTACAAAATGATTAACGTAAGTACAACTCAATGAATGTATAGGAAAAATTATTACAAACCTGAAAACAATACAATAATAAAAATCTTTGTACCTTTGCTAATAGCACTTGTTTCTAATTGATCGTCGTCGTCGTCTATATTCAAATTTCTTACACCTTTTAAATCACATAAAAAAATCTAAGTAGCCTATTTATAATAAAGAAAAACTACATTAAAATGTCATTAATATAAACTTCGTTCATATATATACCTGTTTGGGAGTATTTTCTGGAAAGATCATGTATTTTTCCTTTACTTTTGGAAACAGCAGAAATTTTATTCTTGATATGATCGTTAATCGATAACATATGAAGCTTGCTTTTCCCACGATATCTTGACTTACCCAAATCAAAATTAGCTGAAAATATTTATAATTTGTATAAGTATTACCTTTTTTAGCAAATCATAAGTACCAACTCCAAAAACATGTAAATAATCAATCATATATTTATTAGAAAATAAATCACCTCGATGTAAGTCACTTTCTGAATTATAAATTACGGATACTTCAAACATTGTTCTTGAAGGTTGTGGGTTGTGTAGTTTAATACCAATCTGCAAATAATTATAAATAACAAAAAATATTATCAGTTTTTATTTAAAGCAATCATAATTAACTTTACTTAAATATATGAGTTCTAACCAGAACATTACTTACATTTTTACTTCTCGTATAACTACTCCGTTTAAGTCTTGCATCCACTGATTTTTGTAATTTTTGTTGGATAATCTCAGATTCAGACTCTTTGGAGGAAGGATTTATTAATATTGAAGACTTGGATGCTGATTCAAATTAATGAAAATATAATTATATTCAACGAAATAAAATAATTTTGACAATCTAATTAATTAACAAAATTAGAAGTAATGTTACCTCAACAAATCCATCTATTAATATTTTTTTAAAATTAAAAAATATTAATATTTTCTTTAACTAATTTTTTAAATCAAGAAAACATATACTTCTATTGTTAAATACAGTAAAAATAAAACATACTTATAAATTAATGTATGCCATTATATTAATATAGAAAATTCAGAGATTCATGTATCAAATAATTAAATTGTAAATGAAAATAATATGCATGTATAAAACTTTAAAAAGACTTTAAAGTATATTACCAAGCATAATATCTGCATAATCCGTATTATGATTCTTCTGAATAGTATTGTCGCCGCTAATTCCTGTGAATTAAATTTCATAAGATCATATATTACAACTAAAATAATAAAAAAAATATATGAAAACAATCAAGGTAAACATCAAGAAACAATATTATCATTAAATGAAAAGCATCGCAATACATAAATTATACTTTTAACAAATTCAAATTTTAAACTGTACTCGATTTAAATTGAATAACTACAACCCACTAACCAGATAAGATGTCGATGTCGGATGATTCTTTTATTTTAACATCAACTAAGTTACTTTCTCCACTTCTTTTACATTTCATGTAGAACATCCGCTTTTGCCTTGCTTGGTGAAAGGTTATACTGGTTTTGGAATTTTGCATATTTGGAAACATCAATGACATCTTCTTTACTGCGTTTTTTTGTGAACGAAGATTCAATGTACTCTACAATGGATTAAAATTAAAATGAATATAAGAAATCTATATTAGATATAAATAATATTGTAAATAAAACTAAAATGATAATACGTGTTAAAAAATAACATAAAATAATATAATAAAGAAAACAAATAACTTAATATAGTAATATACTTAGTTAAATATACACTTTATCGATTTAATAGAATATTCACTAAAATATAAAACAAAAATTATTTTATGTTTTTTCTTAACATAACAACAAATCGAAATAAAAAATGTGAAATATAAAGTCATATAATACGGAATAGTATTCATAAAATTAGTAAATTGTAAAAAATAAATAATATTCTCGAATTTTAAAATAACTATTAGGGACGATAGTAAATGAGTATTTTAAACTAGAATTGGAATTGAAGCTTTTTCGACATTTAACTTCTTACGGATGATAACTTGGAATAATCTCTATGATTCCTCCACCACTCTTAGTTACATCTGTTTTTTTTTTAAATTCACAAAAAAAAAAAAATCAAGCAAGTTATGAAGCAATCAACCAAATAAGTGAATCAAAATGTTATAAAAAGTGATGATCATAAACATAAATTTTAATAAAAAATTTATTATAACTATATATAAAAAAAATTATAACAAAAATATTATTGGAAACAGATTTTTACCACTGGTAATGTTAGACGTCTGAATACTCGAGCTCACTTTCAAAGCATCTGAATTCGTCTGTCTGCTGTTAAGATCATAATAGTTCATGACAGCTATAGAATTCGTAAGGAAAATATTTCGATCTCCTTTCCCAATATCGCCATAATGCTTACATTTAATCCTAGAATTTGGATCACGTTTACTCATCTTCCATACAATTACATGAATCAAGAAGTTGAAAAAGTTTTTATTCTTTTACGGTATCTAATAATAGTTGAAACGTACAAAAAAAAAAAGTTAACGGGCAGAAATATACATAATAGAGAAAAAAATATGGAATTGAAAAAATTATGATAAAAAAGGAAAAAGTTTATAATAGATAACTAAAAACATTTAATGGCTTGTAAAAGACTTAAAAAAATAATGATTTAACTCTGATTGGAGAAGTTTATGTTCTACATATTTATACCCACGTAAGTTCATTCTGGGATTAATTTTCATATCATCCTACACGGTTTAAACATTCAAAATTTATAGTTATCATATTATTTAAAATTTTCAGAATAGATAAATAAGTGGTTAAGATTTGAAAAGGTGATTAACTGTTTGAACATGTGATAATCATATTTATTTAAATGAAGATGATAATCTTATATAGATTCCAATAAATATTTACTTGAATTTGAGTAAATAAAAAGAGAAAACCAAAATATGTTTAAAAAATGGTAATTGTCAAATTAATATGTTTCATTTTTTAATCAAAAAATAAATTATCAGAATAAACATAGTTCGATAATCATAAAATTCAATCAAAAATAAAATAAACTAAATTTCAAAAAAAAACTAATTAAATTTATGTAGTTTATCATTATCATTATAATATAATTAATTTTAAAAAAATTACTAATTTTCCATATTGTTACTATATTAGAAAACATTTACTAATATCAAAGAATATTATATAAATTCACAACCATTATTTAATCATAAAATTTAATTAAAATTAAATTACAGTATTATTAATACACAATTTTGATTATTAAAGAGATATAAACAAATGTATATTAATAAATTAAAAACTATACTACATGAAAATAATAAATAAATAAAAAGTATGTTAAAATAAATACTGCAATCATATTTAAACTAAAATAGAACAATTAACCAAATTCACAACAAAATAAAACTTACTCAAGTCTTTTTTGAAATAAAAAAAAAACTAATCTTAATTTCAATCTAAACAAGAAAACTTAAAGAAAAAAATTAAATAAGAATTACATCCGAGAAAAACGTGATCACCAGAAACTCACAGCCAATTCGTACATCATTGACATTCGAGGAAGCTTTTTCAGTTTCTAGAACTTGTTTGTTTTGGGATTGTAAATTATATATTCACTTGCCCTTTTTGAAGTAATCATAAATTTTGTTTTGTGAGACGATTTTGGACATAGAAATAATGATCTGTTCCATGTATGGAAATAAGGTTTCGGAGATCGAGCAGAAGGCAAATCCATATCAAAATCAATCTTAATTTTATGTTTAGGAATCCAAAACCAATTACCACGATCATCTTGATTGCAACTCCATATTTCAAACACATACGAAAACTTGATGTACTCCGGGCTACAAACACAAATCTTCCCCCTTAAATCCAAGAACTCGATATGGTTATTCGAGCTATTAGGGAACCGAAGCCAATATGCTTTTAAAGGATGTCATATGATTGAGTAGGTTTTCCTTGAAATATCGTACGCCACCAGCAAATCAGTAGGAAGATCATGTATATATGACAACTTACAAAACCTTTTGATTCTCCAAACCACATGTTGTTCAAATAACAAACTGTTATCAACAATAGTTGGACATCTTTCAATCATATTACTCCAGTTTATAGTAGAAGGTGTCAACACTTCATCAACAATTCATGAAAATATTTTTCCTATCATTTCATTTCTCCACGGTTGTAGACACATTAAAACATATTCATTTGGTTGTCTACGTAAACCAAAAGTTATTTCAAAACACGATGAGTTTGATGGCAACAAAGGAAAATGAGGAGGTGGGAAACGTATTACCTGGCCAGATGTTGAAGTTTGATAGTGTACCTGGTTTCACGCATATCAAATCTGTAGTTATTGGAAGCATAGAATGAACTCCATACTCATCAACTGTCAAAACTTCATCTGTTGAGAAGCCATAAACATGGCCATCAATCCAATTAACACCAACAAAAGTGATAGGGTTCGGCTGATTATCATGTATGACATACTTGCATCCAAAAATAACAACTTCATCATTGTTTGATGCGTGAAGCTTTCGAACATGCATCTGGAGAAATTTATCATCAATCAATTTCTTCCAGAAAGGATCAACACTCTTGCATCTGGCAAAACTGAATGCATCTAATCTTCTCATGAAATTATAAATCAAATCATGTGGTATCTGACAAATCAAATCATTAGGGTCTTGGATTCAGAAACTTGTCAGATACACTTTTCCGATTAGTACTAAAAACAGAAGATATCGTTATTAAAGAGTATCCTTCTCAACAACAGAACTCAAAAATCAAAAAGTACCTTCATATCCAATATGGGAATATCCTTCTCATCATTTTCTCCTTATCTCGGTTTAACTAATGCTTAAAAAGTACCTTCATATCCAATTTGGGAATTGAGAAAAATCAAACCTAATTATCTCTGCGATTTAATTAGACTTTTTCCACAGTAAATCGACAGAGCAAAATTAACAAAGCAAAGGGTTGCTCATCTTTGAACCAAAAATAATGAGCAAACGGCTGGTTGTTCATATCTGAGAATCGACCACAAACAAATGAACACACAAAACGACCCAAAGTGGGAGAGATTATATCAGCACAGAAACAAACAAGGTAAAAATTTAAAGGCTAAGCAACCCATCATCAACATATATAATCTGTAGAAGGATCAATGATTACCAAAGTACTCTCAGTGGACATAATCCCCAAAGAAGTTAACAGCACCAAATCTCATACAACAAATAGACTAGAATATTGCAAAATAGGAGTAACAGTTAGTAGATAAGTACTAAAATCAAACCAAAAAACTTAGTTAACCCGAGATATATGCTTACTCGACCCCGGTGACTGTTACGCACTTAAATTTCTTTTTGGCATCGGCAGCATTCCTGTCAGAAGCAGCTTTTGCGTACAGATGTTGAGGCGCCCACCCTGATTCCTCCTCATCCTTCAGCTCCTTGATGGTGCGAATATCGCCTTCAGTCTGAAACTCGATTCTCCCGAACATCTTCACCTCTGCCTTCAGGAAAACTTCTGCAATTGCGGCCCACGTCTAAGTCTCCATCAGGAGGCAGCTATAAAAATCTCATAAGAATTCTTTCTTTAGATATTTGGGGGCCTGGAGGGAGCTCTGGTGGAACTAATTGCTATGGCCGTATAAATAGTACCACTATGCATAACTCCGGTCAGAAGGCAGCCTCGGGTGGTCAGTTGACCCCCGGGCACTTAACTAGTTCCATTCCTGCCTACTACTGACATCACTCACTTCTTTTCAAAATGTACATCGTTTTAGACTTTTAGAAATTTTTCAAAATGTAAGTCGTTGTAGCATTTAAAACCAAATTAATGACTATGTTTCCAATTTTACCTTCGATAAATAATATCACTCAAACTTTTTTTAGTCTTGTTTATAGTTCCAATATAATTAATGACGGATAAAACAGATATTTACCGCAAAAATTAATTGTTGAATGGTTGTCTCCTTAATTTACGTGCGAAGTCTAAAATAACTCACATATTGAAATGAAGGAAGATGATATCACCATAAACTCTTCATCTTGTTAAAATAAACGACTGCCAGTTTGCTAATATGGGGCGATAAAGTTTCGTTTTATTGTTGAAGAATATGGGCAGTTGTCACCCTTGAAAGGGGAATCGCCCCGAATTTTATTGCTGTTGAATAAATTTAGAAAAGGGAAAGGAGAGGTAAAGATAACCCAAATATAAAGAGAGAAGTGTTTGATTCTTCCTACTGGGGGATTTGGTGAACTTATTTATTTATTGGGTTCCTTTATGTCTGTCTCTAGCCTCCGGCTCAAGCTGATCATAGGCTTAGTTCTTAAAGATTCTTGTAAAGATGGAACTGTTGTCAGGTGTCATCTGTGCTGCTTTAATTCCTCTGTTCCTCGATCAGAGCTGGCTGTTGGTAAAAAGGTTACATGTCCAGGTAAACTTTTTGGATAGCTGAGATTGTTTTTTTTTTTTTTTTAAGAAAAAAAAAGCGATCGGAATGCTGACTTGCTGAGAGAGAACTGACTATTGAGTATTGACCACTGTGATACCGGCTCCGTGACCGCGATATAAGGAGGAGCTCTATGCACAAAACGTTAAGGCAGCTCTCTCTAATGTCTTACCACAGAACGATGAACTTACATAACGTACAGATCATGATTCAAGAACATTAGTAATTTAAAGCTTACAAGTTACGACTGAACTGAATTCTCTAAACATCCAACATGAGCAAATGGAGGTTATTTAATATTTACTATATCCGTCACTATCCAAGCTAAATGAGGGCCGTGGGAATGAAATGACTGCAGATTATTAAGCTAGCTCAGAGAAAAACCGACCCGCAGAGGGTTCCACCATATTGATTCAAAGGAAAGGGAAAAAGAAAAATCAAACCGAAAATTCCGTTACCACAATCGAGAAATGATTCTCCGGCTGATGATAACGGAACCGTTATGTAAGTTCATGGTTGATACTTTCTCTGCGCCCCGAAATGATTTTCCAATTTGAACTTTTATTTCTAGTATTATCTGCACTAGAAGTGAAAATTTACAGAATACAATCATTTCGAGACACATGGAATATTTGTTTTACTAGAATAATGCTAGAGTACTCCACACTGATTGGGATTTGAGAATGAGTCTATCTGAAACCAGCCTCGATCATGCTTAAGAATGAGGGAGTGTATACTAGTACATTTTTGCAGCAAATGAAACTCGACCTTCCAATCTTCTCTAAAATGAACAACATAAGGTACAACCAGAAACGTTATTGCTTTAGATTCTCGATACAAATGACTCCAAGTTCAGACTCCTTACAAAGTAGTAGGATCCAAGCAAACAGTATCTACAAACTTGGGACAACATCACAACACATCCCTCGCTATCTGCTGAGTTCTTGACGAGTTGGGATAACAGGAACAAGGAAGTTGCCAAAAGGGGAATCGAAAATTCTAAAGTTGCCGGTGGCACGCTCTTGTTGTGCTTGAGTCACGGCAAAATTCTTGGCTTGTTGAATTTTAAGGTCTACCCTGCTGGTTTGAGGAACTGGCGTTACCTGTGCATCAAAGTAATCCATGTCTTTTAAAAAATATATATATTGCTCGCACAAAAAATCAAGTAAGCTTATTAAGCAACTGAACATATGTTCAAGGACAAAGAACAATAATGCATACCGTGAAATTTCCTCTTTTTGGCCGAATGTCTGCGCTAAGTTGTGATGCAGAGGAATTCCTGCCAAAGAATGACGTTAAAAATTGGGGGCATAGAAGCTCACCAACTGTAGCCATCAATTAGAGTAATCCAATTCAACCACACTCCACAATTCAGAAAATCATTCCAATTAGTCATAAAACCCTCAATGAATCGTTGAAACAAATCAACTAATCTATAACCTCAGAATCAACCATATGTTAAAACCTCCAACCCTAACTAAGCTTACTGCAAAAAATATATCGAAATTCACCGAGGATAACCATCTGTGTCAATGGTAAATTAAGAAAAATTGAAAGATGTTACTGGGGATTAATTACCGGGGAGAAGGTGCGCCGGAACCCTCAACCTTCCTCTTCTTCAGTTCTGGCAGCTCCATCGTTCGCGTTTTTCGGACAGGTCACAGGACAAACCGACCCCTGGTTTTAATCGGGCCATAGAAAATAAACATTTTAACGGTCCACACAATATAAGCCCAATAAGAGCCCACTGGTGTATAAGGTAGGCACAGCCTGAAACCAGCTTGGGATTGAACTCAACGCTGTATTAAAAGAAACTTGCTCTCTGTTTTTTCTTTCTAAGCCAAACTCTCTGCTAATACTCAAGGCCTCAACCAGCCATGAACCAGACCCTACTGGAAAAATTAAATCCGGCAGAGGGAACTCCATCTTTCAGGGATAGATTACTCCAAGGTCAACAAAATCAATTCAAAAAATCCTTGCGGTTGGTGTCAGCGGTTATGTAAATTACAGTAGTGATTATGGTGATTATGCAGATTATGGGCAAGACCAGAGTAATCATCAGGTTCAAGAATCGAGTACAAGCTTTGTTCCGGAGGTGCCTGGAATAGCTGGAAGTTCATTTTTAGCCTGAGGAGATAATAATAGAGGTCAAGCAGGATGAGTTGATGAAAAAAAGGCCTAGGGAGGATCAGGTCAAAGTAACTGGAATTGCTTTTGGTCCATCGCATCAGGTAATGTACTTGAAAACACCCTGTCATTATTGATTTTCCCATTACCCTTTTTCAATCTACTTGTATAGAATCTGCTTCATGTATTGACTTCTTCGGTATGTATCAGTGCCTACAGTTGATCGTTTGTATTATGTGTATTCTGTGTGTTCTTACCATTGCATTATGGTTTCAGTCTAGGGTTTTTAATTTGCTTAACATCCACAAGATGTAGGCTAATTTTAGTTTGAGTTTGATTTCACTGCATAAGATATGCCAAAGAGAAAATTGTCTAAATGAAGCTTCTCTGTTGATCAAATAGTTGTGAATTGATGGGTTCCTCTTTGCAGTAGTTGTTGTGTGAGAAATGTGATTGTTTTTATTGCATATATATGTAGGCGTTATCTACTCCATCTTAACTGGAGCCCTGTCTCCCTAGTTGTTTTTCGAAATACACCTTGAACTGTCTCAAATTTTACCTTTTATACTGTGTTTTGTGTTCAGTTAATTTATTTCTTTGCTTCTGCAGCCTGCGTCAACCAAGGGGAAGCCTACAAAGTTGCACAAGCGGAAGCATCAGATTGGTTCTCTCTACTTTAATATGAAGCAGGAAGAGAGGGAGCTTGCAGAAAGACGCGCAATAGGATTTCTCACAACAAGGGAAGTATGGATGGTGAGGTAGAGTGCTAGAGCTTTAAAGATATGACACATCTGTTGTGGCTGGTTTTTTCTTGGGGCAGCGAACAGTTCTTGTAGAGATGCATACTTTTTGTAATATCTGCAAATTGTATTTAATGTTCAAAGACCAGTTGCAACTATCACGCAGAGTTTTGAGGCCATCGAACCTGTATTTGACTTGGGAATGGAGTGCAGTATATTATTCCTTTAAGAGTTTAGATTAGACTCTTACTATGGTCTGATATCAATTGTGATTGTACCAGAATCAGAAGAAAGCCTTTATGGTAAAAAGAACGTGAGCTATATTGTAAGAGACATCGTTTTCAGAAGTTAGAGCTAATGCCTGGGCAAATTTCACGTCTCAATTTTGAGTGGTTTTGCTTTTTGAATTTACATCCATGTTATAAATTGATGCTGAAGTTTTGGCTATGTAGTGGTTCAACCGGTGCATATAGGCCTGTTTTGCATTTCTTTGCTGCTCTCTATTGAAATTTAGTGGTTGGAAATTGAATATGATGTCGTATTTAAAGTAAGGCCTCAAGCTGGTAACATTCTGAATTTATGTTGAAAACTGCTTCATTGCAATTTAGTGCTCCTCTGATCCTGCTCCCAGATTGCAGCACAGATCTTCTTAAATCAATGGATTGATATTGCTGTTGGGACTACAATCCAGAAAGAATTTGCAAAAACATAATATGCATAGTAGTAAACCAAATTTGTGGCAAAATTATCTCCATCTAGGTAAGGAGTTAGAAAATATGCGATGGTTCCATACAGTTGTGCTACTGATATGGCCAGCTGAAGTACATGCCTGTATGACTTCTTCATTGCTATCCGCATACCTGCAAAGTACAAAAGCCACATTATGATCATTAAAGAGGGGAGATAAATGCGAATATCAATAAAACCAGAAATGTGGACTGAACATAATAGTATGATCTTGAAATAGTAACATCGCAAGTTTCTTTAACTTACAGACAGAGAAGACAAAGGGGACCCCTCTAATAATATACTCCTTTGTCCTAAAATTATTATCCAGTTTGGATTTTCATTTCTAGTTCAAATTATACTAAAAGTGAAATTTCAAACTGGACAATAATTTGGAGACAGAGGGAGTAGTTACTATTTCGATTTGTTATTGGGTAATACAGAAATTGAAAG